AGGTAAAAACACCAACAATGGAAGTACCTATTTTACATAGTTCATCACCATTACGTAAAGCAAAACGTTTACAACGTCGTTGGTCTCGTCTTTTATTTTCTCAAGTATTAAAAACTTTAAATATTCATAAAAAACTTTCATTAAAATTAAATGATCATAAACATACATATAAAATTGAATTTTATTTTTATGAAAAATATGGAAAAAAAAACAATTAAATGAAATAATATGTTCATTTGAAACATATTTTATTTCACGTTTATGTCGTTCAATAAATAAAAAACGTAAAGAATTAACAACAAGTGCTCTTTTAAGATCAGCCCATATTCGTGATAAGATAACAATTAATGATTCAAATGATAAAAATGAATAACAAGAATTAGCTGAAAAAGATGATGATGATGAAGATGATGAACAAATTAATGGTGAACGCTAATACAGCCAAAGAAAAAGCAAATAGAAATGATGAAAAAGAACATGATGATGATGATAATAACAATAATGAAGAAAATGAAACTGATGATGAAGAAACAATGCAAGATAATCAAGATGAAAATTATCAAACAAATACATCAAAAATCACTATTAAAGAAGATGTCATTGATGATGTACCAGCTAATCTTATTGAAAATAAATAAGAGAAATAAAACTTCAGAATTAGTTGTTTTTTTTATAGATTCTTCAGTTTTATAGTTACGTTTTTTTTTTATTAAAATAAAAAAAGTGTTCTAAATGATGAATTTTAACGACTTATCTTTCAATATGTGAAATTCTTATGTACTGTTAATATGCATTCTTGATGAAACATGTTTATTATAATATATTACAATAGATGAGAAAGAATACGTATCATAAATCATGACGCACACCTGAACGGATACGAGAAGAGATTATTTTCTCTCAGCAGAACTAGCGAGGTAAATTCATCAACTGTTCAATCTCTTTTGAGTTGAAAGTGTGTTCATCATGTAGGTTCTAATGAACTATGAATAATCTGAAAAAGAATTCGAATTCTTAGATTATTGTTACCGAGCTACTCCATTTGTTGAAGGTATTGTTTAAATCAATGCCGTGTTCCTTCTCTGGAAAACTTATTTTTGAATTTCAACTTTAACCTTTGTATACAAACAGATCTTAACGAGAATAGTTTATTGTAAACGTTTCAAGTATTTTGGTTTGCTTCTATCTCGAAATAAGAACATTGAATCTATCGATGTATAATAATCAATATAAAAGATAATCTTTTACCATAGTTGTATCTTATGATCGAAATCATGAAAATATTTGAAACTTTCATAATAAATTATATTCGTTAAGGTATATCTCTATGTAAACCTTCAAGTTCAACATCAAGAATAAGTGTTTCCTTATATTCCTGAGGATAACTACACCATTATATTAACAAAACAATTTAAGAATGAACCATCTCAGCAACAATAACCTAAGAGGCCGAATTCTTTTCAGAATATTCAAAATTCGTTAGGGGTAACCAAAGTCACAGAAAAAAAATTCTTTCAACTAATGTTTTGTTAATGAACGTAACAGTTTATAATAACTAATTTTCGAATAAAAAATTCTTTTTTTTTGTTTTTTGAAATAGCATTGGATATATCTAAAGAAGAAATGAATAATGATGATGAACAATAAGTACCAGGCAATGATGAAGATAACATTGATGAACCACCAAGTAAAAAAGCAAAGAAAATCAATAGGAAAACTACTCTTATGGATAATATGACATACAATCAACGATTTGGTGTATGTATATAACAAAAAAAAAAATAGAACGACATTTTCGATTTCATTTATTAAAAAACGACTTTTCCTTTTAGAATGTCTGTAAACATGCTGATTATATACGTGACTATACAGCTGATCTTGATAATAATTTATGGTGTCGTTTAACAATGGTATTTCCTGCTACTCAACCTGATCGTTTAAAAAATAATATATTAACATATATAAATAGATTTATTGAAACATTTGATGAAAATGTTTATATGAAAATTCATCTTCAATGTTAATTTTGTCGAATTTGTGCATTAGATGATTATCTTAGAGAAATTTTATCACCAAATTTTACTCAATAAATTTATTATTTATTTGATAAAGTATTTAATGATCTTCATATCAATATATTTTACTGTCATATGATATAATATGCTTTCGTTTATTTCCTCTCGAAAATATAACTCAGCTTAAGTTTTTTTTTAGAATATTTTTCGCATTGTTTTAAATAAAATAAATCATCAAATCAAGTCAATTAAAATAGTTCTTATTTATAATTCCATTGGGAAATACAGTTTTGAGAATTCATATTGAATAGGAAAGTTCAAGATCAAGTTCATGAGCTGGCCGCCAGCTCCTATTCAAATAAGCTGATTGACCAATTCTTCTCAAATAAATTTGAGCTCATTTATATATTCTATTCAAAGTGAATGAATTATGTGTTTTTCGAATAGCAAAAAAAAGGAAGTGTGGATGATTGGAAAGACTTCTCTATGAGTCTAAGGTCTGCTTTGGACTTCATAGAAGATAAATGTATGAAGTATTCTCTCATATTCTACCGTAGTTTATCAAGAGAAATATCTTTAAAATATGATTTTTATATTTAAAGGAGATTTTCGCTTTAATCATTAGCGTTATCGATTTATCTTAATATATCTGATAAAGATATATTTGATGAAGAATTATGTTCAATATGAATTTATTATTTGTCAAAAAAAGAAAGAAGCTATTTGACGGTAAAAATAAATTGAACATTTTATTGTAATTAATCAAACTATTTTGACACTCAATATAATTTGCATTTTCGATCATGAAAATATTTTCATTTCTTCAAGAAATTTACTTGTTGTTCAATTAACAAATTTATTAAGATTTATTCATAAATTCTTGTATAGATATAATTTCTTTTTAATAACCGAGTTTTTAATTTTCTTTCGATTTTCGATCATTATCTGATTCTATTTATGCAATAATTCTAATTGAAATGAAG